ACGCAGAGTGACAAACTTGTGGTTTTCTTGTTAACCACAACAACTTTCTGGATTAGAAATGATGCCAGATTTTGGCCACTTTCATTCTTCCCCTTTTTAGCAGTAAGGAAATGTCCTTGGGTGAGCCTGAGAACCAAACCTGGGTTTGGTTCTCAGGCTCACAAAAAAATGCATTGAGAGATGAACAGCTAATTTTGTCTGGCGTCTTAAATTGTTGCAAGAATTACTTGAAGTTTGGATTTTTTTCTTGACATTGGGGTCTGACTTCCCATCAGTGTGTTGTTGTTCCCACTGTATTCTTGTATGGCACTGTACAGTGAACCCCTGCCTATATTAAACAATCTTCTGCCTGCTAAAGAATTTTCACTTAACAGACTGGCTCTGCTGGAGGCAGTTTTTCCTCCTGCATGATAAAAAAAAATCTGCCTAACAGGCTTCTGTTGGCTCAAAATTAATAGTAAAAAGCTGAACAAATAATAATTTTTTAGCAATTGAATTTCCGTAGCAGGCTTTCCACATACCAGACTTATAGTCTGTTTCACAAACTGTGTTTGTTGTGTGGGGTTAACTGTACAGCATTTTTGGGGTCCCACTCCTGCATTCTTGTACTTTTAGATGGGTTGATTTATTTCATACATGAAGTTCACTTGCCTATACTGTACAAAGTGCAATCCTCAACAGATTCAAAATTTCAAAGCAACTGCCCTCATAGCTTCCTTCATACCTGTGCCCCACATTGCAGTGTTGAAAAATAATGCAGTACACAAGCATGCTCCTTTTGTTTTTACAAGTCTAGTCTTTTTGTTTTGCTATATAAGGATGACAACCGGCAACAGGGTTTCTGCTCCGTACAACGAAAATCGTCGATTCCGAACACAACAAAGAAATTCGGGCTGTTTTCCTACATAGGAACGGCGGTGTCGCATTTCTACCCGAACGCCAGCATACGACTGGCTGCTTTTCTTCAGCTAACTGAACCGAATGACGAAGTTTCCCTTCTCAAGTTTTTTGTTTTGTTTGTTTGTTTGAGTTTTTCTTCTTGCTGGTTTCGTTTTCTCCCCCCTCGTGAAGTTTCACCTGCACGTCTCCTCTGTACTGTACCTGTAGTTTTCGATCATGCACTGTCCCGAATTTGTGTTTCGTTGCACAGCGTTCGCTTATTTGTGCCACCGCATTTCCTCAGTCGTCGTCGTCATCATCATGTTCGTCACTTTTGTGGTTGCATATGTAGCTAGCTGTCGTGTCATCGTTTCGCGACTCATTATCGGCAGCAGTGAGGAATAGAAATAAGAAATAATGTGTGTGTGTTGCACCGACGTGACGAGGGCTAAACGTTCGACACGTCGTGAATTCGCTAATTTATGACTCTCCGGTATTCTGGCAACTCAGTTCCGTGTCCCAACACTTGCGTGAAAGCGTTCAGTGTAGATATAATTCGTTCGGGAAAATTGTTTCGACTGCGAATAGCTGTCCAAATTCCCGATCTTTTTTTATTTTGGTCTTTCAGGTGTTTGTGAACGAGTGATGCAATGAAATTGTGCGTTTGGATTGAAGTGTTGGGTATGTAGATTGGATAGTGAGACCCCCACATGCAGACACCTCAACATGCGGGCAATTCAACAAAGGAACATTTTATTCAAATTAAAAGGCCCAACATATGGACCCTGACGCAACATCATGCAGACATTGCATAATACAATTACTGATACATTTCAGGAAAATTTACTTTTATTAGGCTTAATTGCAAGAAACCGATATTTTCAACCCTACAAGATCTATGCAAGAAAATTTCTTTGGTATTTCTCCCATAATTTTCCCATGCATTCAGCTAATTTTAAAAAATACCTATGACATGAAGGGACTATATTCTCTCTGTGTGACTTGAATGTAATTTTTTCAGATGCCAAAATTTCAATGTACTGTGCAAAGGTACACTATTCAATGCTCCAAATGTTCTTACTGAATTTCAAAGATATTCACTGAATCAAATTCAAGTGGCAAAAAAAATTTCATGAAATTTTGAAGAATATTTCTTTCATGAAACACCAATTTAAAATCATACAATGTAAGTCTAAGGGAAAACAAGACTCAATACGTTGGGACATTTTGACTCAGGGACACTCTTGATGCACCAATTATGTCCACATCTGGGGGTCTCACTGTAATAATGACCAAGGGTTGTCTTTTTTATCCTTGATGTGCTTCCCCTTGGAAAAATTTGCAATTTCTTGACATATATGAAGGTTCAGGAGATGATCATGACTGCTGATTTCGGTGAATTATACAAATTTTCAAATCTGCATTGCTCTCCTGTGAATTTGCATAATAATGCACAAAATCTGAATGAGGCGAATTATGTGCTTGACAGACTTTGTGTGCGTACAGTCTTAATTTTTCAATGAACTTGCTGTATGATAGAATATCATTTGAGAGAAATCCTGGCGAAAATGCATGAAACATTTTTTTTACTAGATCCAAACATGAATGGTCCTTGCGAAATGCATTCCAGTTTTCAAAAGTTTATTTTTTTGGATTAACCCTCTTTGAAACAATGGAACATTTTTCATGTTTTGAAAATTTTCTAGCATGCACAATGAGCTGCAAATGTAAGTGACATCTGTTCCTGTGATTGCTCCAATTTTAAAGCTTTTTTCATTCCTTTCTAGATTTTCAGCTTTTTCAGTTGATTATTTCTTATCCGCTATCAATCTTTGTTACACATTTGTAAACTTGATTGAGGCCCTTTTTCTAACGACAATTTTATTTCTAACGACTGACAAAATTCTCAACATTATTTTAAAAATTTCATTAAGCATCCATGGCAAATTTCTTTAGATGTGGGATATTGAATTTTCCCAAATAAAATCTCTGGTTCATTTTGGTAAATAAAATAAATGCCAAAAATCATCAAGATTTCCATTTTGCATAGGTGAGTTTTCTGTCGATTTATGCCTGAGATGAGCAACAATGATGCTCCTACAAACCTTTTTTTTTCCTTCAACTGAGGTTAAAAACGTGGATGGGTTATGCTTGAGACTTTTGTGCACATAAATCACCGCAAAAATAACAGAGAATCATTCGAAGAGTAGCATTTCGGCACCTTCACTGCTGCCACATTGGCGGCTGTGAAGGCGGCTTTTGATGAAAACGGCGGAATTACCTTGGAAGACATATGGGGGCAGCCATTGAAATTACAGTAAATTCACATAAATTTCAAAAATTCTAAGGGGAAAGCTGGGCTATACAATGACAAAATCTGCAGGAAGGGCGCCTCAGCTTTTGAGTGGAGAGAAAAACTCTACCAGGGTGAATTTTGCTAAACATAAAAAAAAATGTTGAACACCGCTGATTTGTTTGTGCCAAAGAACATGCTTTCCATAACAAATAATTTTTTCACCTCCTTTACATGCCATTTTAATTTATATTCTGAGAATTTTTGTTAGACCCCTTGTATACCATATGCCATTGCAAATAACCATATAGATAACCTTGACTATCCATGTCTAAGGCATAGTTCAATTTTCAGGCTGTCAACTTATTCCAAAATAATAGTGATATAATCAAAAAATGCGAAAAATAATCTGTCGAAAAGGAATACAATTCCTTGTGAATTCGTGTAAACGTTTTGTAGGTTTCTTCAGGAGACTTCCTGAATTTTCGCTGGATATCATCAGTACGTGTTTCCTATAAAATGAATATTCAATATCACACTGGTCTATGTATAATACTTCCCCTTTAATATGACCTAGTTTCAAAGATGTGATAAAATGCATTAAGTAGCATCAATTGATAGAATATTGCTGTACTCCATTTTAGTGGCATCTCCATGATTTGGAAATTTTAGTACATTACACTGTATTATCTACAAAATTTAAAGCTATATTTACAATTAAACGTATGATAGATAATCAGCATCTGCAGAACCCAAAACAGCAATTATGAATTGGAATTCAAGAAAATGGCTCATTTACTCCAGATCCCTACAAATTCTTGCATTCATTGACATGATCCAATATGGTGAGATGTCAATTATATTTGAAAACTTTACCAACAGAGTGATGTAAACCTATGCAACGTATAGGCTTCATAGATAATTGGCTGCACATTACAAAGAAGTAGCTATTATTATATGAATGAATGAACAGAACACTTTATTTGCCACTTTTCAGCATTCACAAGGTTCAATCAAGATTTCCAGAACCAAACCCCCTTCCCACCCAACCCAAATTCACTCAATGACATTCAATCACTTCAGAGCAGGAAACAGCACAAATTGATGACAAAAATAAAATAAAATACGATCCACAAAATATAACTGGACATCTGACATGTATGCATACATGCATTTATTCCTTGACAATGAAAACAAAATATACTTAAAAATTAATTTAAAGCACAAGGTCTTCAGCTTGTTTCTGTATGAGGTTTAGTTGAATGAACAAATTAGAGAGAATCTTTGATGAGAAATCATATAATGCCAACAGTTTATCTTTCAATCCACATTCTTATTATATTATTATTATAAATCCAATGCTGAATTATAATGGAAAATTCCCTCCAGATCCCTGAAAATGTTCTTTTGTGAAATCTTGATTAAAAAAAATTTTTTAAGAGAAAGATTCCACATTCTAATTGAGGAGGCATAACTTGAAAAATTGAGATTCCAACGCTAGCGAGGATATAAAAAAATCAAGCTCCTGCTGGAATAATACACACTTGAAAATTATGTTGTCAACAGCAGCCGCATTTTCCTCAGCAACTTACTCGGATTCCTTCGAAGAACACTCCTATTCCATTTCCTCTTCTATGATCCGAAAATAAACGTTTGTGAAGATGGTATGAATGAAATGTGTACACGCGGTCCATTATCCGAAACATTCAGTGCTGATTTCTAAAAAAAAAAGAAAAGAAAAAAAAACAGCACGCGTTTTCTGCTTTCCCCTCATTAATATAGGCAGGGAGTCATTTCTGGGATAACTTCTTATCGACGTTTGGTTGTTATCTCGAATGAGTCCCTTCGCAGGGTTTTTTTTTTTTTTCCTTCATATATTTTTTCCTCCCTTTTACATATATCTGCTGTGTTTCGTCCCCGTGTGGCATTCCCACGAAGGTTTAACCCGCGTATTGGCCATTGTTGGATGTGTCCCGGTATCAGATGTTTTCTTCAAAGTTCAGTCTTCATCCTGTAGATGAAGATATATTGAGCAAATGAAAGGAGTCGAGCAGCGAGAAAATAATGTGATGGTGTGGTGAGATGAGCGCTTGTCGTCATCGGCGAGATTTTCCGCCGCGAATCAGGCAGAATAATAGCGTGGAACCCGTGACCCGAGGTACCCGGACTTGATCGGGTTTCGGCTTGTTTATTATTGCCGCGTCTTTCCTGCTGCTGAAAGCTGATACTGCAAGTACAGTATACAACAGCGATAACTCCGTGGAAGTCGGGATTTTCGTGATGCTTTAAATCCCTCCACACGTACGGCGTATGTTGGTGCCAATAATAATAATAACAATAAGGAGCTGGAATCAAGACGAAGGAGAGCCTTGAGGCGATTATAAGGATCAGCCGAAAAAGGATTGATTTCATCGATTCGCGGGAAAAAAAAGAAGATAAACACGAATGGCGCTTGTTTCTTTGCTGAGAGTCGGGCGGAGACACGTCAAGGCTTTGCTCAAAAAAATCGCCGCAATGCGTGAGTTTCATATTCGGATACAATTTTCCAGTTTTATCTAACCGATTTGTGATGTTAATCAGTGTTCCCAACCCGTGGTCCGCGGACCGGTGAAGTTTTTTTTTTTTTTTTTGCTGGTCCGCGAGAAATTTTCTGCAGCATAATCAATTCGGGAAAAGGAGCATTAAATCTGTTATTCCCCTGAAACCTCAGAAAAACAATGGTAGCTGAAATTATATATTTTTTTAATTTGACTTCTCTTATTGTTAGACAAACATGTTGGACAAATTTTCCCATGCTGAAATAAGTTTTTTCAATTTTTTTCAGTCTGAGAAACGTTTTTTAAAGTCGACCTTTCTAATATTTTGAAAATATTCCACTATATACACCTGCTTCACTGGATCTTAAATTTTGCAAAAAAACGCAGACAATTTTTAAATACCTTCATGAAGCTTTCAATAAAGCAGCTAATTTTACAAATCTTTGCCAGTCCGCAGAAAATTTTTGGAAATACTATACTGTATTCCAGTCCGTGAAAAAATTTCAAGACAATTTGCTAGTCTGCGGGCCCATAAAAAAGTTGGGAATACTAATCTAAATTATTCACTGAAATTGAAGTTGTAAAAATGATTTTTTGTGCCTCATACATTCAAAGTTTCTGGGATTGAAAATTGGTCTGAGATTTCAATCATGAATTCACTTTATTCACTATAAGGCATCTCCGAATTGAAAATCGAGGTACATCATATATGTCATATGCGTGAGAATCACTTTGGACTGTTTGAATAATGTGATTGCTGATAAACTGCAAAAAATATGGAGTTGAATTGGCAGTAAACCTGTGGCGTTTCTTTTCTTCTTCTTTTTTTTTTCTTTTTCAATCAGCGATCAAAGGCACATTGCTGCCACTTGTGGCCAGTTTTTGTCTCGGAGTGTTGGTCACAACTTTGACGTTCGAGACGAGACGAGAAGACTACATAATGTCCGAAGGCGTGAATGAAGCCCTGCATTGGAGACCGGATAAGGATCATTCTATGGTTGCCTACGGGGGACCAAAGGCCTTTTTCAGTTGGCTTTTCGGAATAAAACACGTGTAAGAAGGTGTATTGTCATCCTGCGAAAAATAATTCTGAAATAGTTTTGGATATTTCTGCTGCTATCAAATTAAAAATGCCCTCCGCTTCCAAAGTCAGATGTCACGAATGATGGTGATTCACAGAATGATTCCTCTCTGTTTATTATAGTTTCAAATTGCAGTCCATGCTGCAAAAGTTGAAATATTTAAAGAAAGAGAAGAAGAAGAAAGAACAGAAAACTTTATTTGCCGCTTTCCAGCGTTCACAAGGTACAACCAAAACTCCCGCATCCAAACCATATTAAAGAAGTTTCAGCTTTTTTGACGAAATACAAAAGTTACAGCGCTTCTAAAGTCAGATGACGCCACTGATGATTTTCCCCTAGAATTTATCCTGCGTAGATTAGTTTCAAATGTCATTGCATGCAAAACTTGAAATATTTGAAAGAAGTTACAGCTTTTTTGATGGAATACAAAATTTACATTGCTTCCGAAGTCAGCTGATGCCACTGATGATTTTGTTCTCAGAATTGATCCTCTGTTGACTAATTTATAATGTCAGCTCATTCATCACTGAAAATATTTGAAGAAGTTTCCGTTTCCTTAATTAAATACAGTACAAAATTTCCCTCGCTTCCGAAGTCAGGTGTCACTGATGATTTGGTTCACAGGATTTCTCCCCTATGAACAATCCCTATTTTCAAATGTCAGCTCATTCAAAACTGAAAATATTTCAAGAAGTTCCGTTTTCTTGATTAAATACAGTGCAAAATGTATCTCGCTTCCGAAGTCAGGTGGCACTGATGATTTGGTTCCTAGGATTTATCGTCTATTGATCATTTTTTTAAATCGGCTCATCCAAAAGTCAAGACTGGAAATGTTTGAAGAAGTTTCTACTTTTTTTTAAATACATACAGCAAATAATTCCCCCTGCTCCCAAAGTCAGATTTCATTGACTTTGATCCCAGGATCGATCCTCTTTTGGTCATTTTTTCAATTTCAAGTTTTGAAGGGGTTTCAGGTTTTTTGATGAAATACATAATTTACGTCGCTTCCACAGTCAGCAGATGTCACTGATGATTTGATTCCCAGAATTTCTCCTCTGTTGATTTTTTTTTAAAGTCGGCTCTTTCGAAACTGAAAATATTTGAAGAAGTTTTCGCTTTTTCGATCATATACAGTGCAAAATTTATCTCGCTTCCGAAGTCAGATTTCACTGATGATTTGGCAGGGTCGTCCTAAATGGCATAGGAGCGAAAACTAGCAAATTTTTCTTTTTCAAAATCGAAAAAGCTACATTACGTTTTTAAAGGTAGCGAAAGTTTCAGTCTACACAGTGACTACTAAACCAAGGGTCGATTTCTCCTCCCCGCAGCTCATTTTGATTTTCGTCGAAACACCTTAGATACATTATCTCTTTATAATCTTTGTTTTACCAAAAAGTATTTTTCATTAATTTACACGTGCTTTCTTCTTTCCTCTTTTACTATATAGGCATGACGAAGGAGAAGGAAAAGGAAGCCAAGGTTCTTACACTCATTCCCCCGAGAAGACAGTGATGGACTATAAGACCATGCACGTTCATGAAGGTGATTCACTAATTTTCAATATGGATCAGTGCTGCTTATCATGATTTTATCGGTTATTGCGAAAATGGTTTTAAATATACAGTAGTCTATTTCAATTCCTGCATGTTATTACTTCAGTTACATTGACTCGAAAAATGTTGTGATCTGCTGCCACTCGTGGGCCGAGAATCCCAGATGATCGATCTTCTTTTTGCCTTTCCACGTATAGGATTCTTATTTTTTAAAATTTCAAGTATTTTATTACCATCATAGATTTTCCTTGGTCTGAAATGCAAATAGATGAGAAAAATTTTTCGGAGAAAAAGTGTGGGTAAACCAAACTCAAGCGAGACAGCGGGAAAAAAATTTAGTCCTGTCACCATGAACAGAATCTTTCTTTTCCTCTTCGCCATTTCGTTGAAAAATTGCTCAATTTCTTTTTTTCGATCGAATGCCTAAATTATTTTACCAAAAAATGGCGAAGTTTTGTGAGTCTGACTTTTCGAAAGTGCAGTAATTTTAAGACACAGCACCTTTGATAATCACATTCCTGAGAAAGCACGTGACGGAAATTAACACGTTTTATGAAACGTCATTCATCCCAAGAATTTATTGAACTTGATATTTGATGGAATCTTAATGAATATTAAATTCGGTTGAATTTTTCCTTGAATATGACAGCTTGTCTAAAAGTTCTCTGCGGGGTCGAACTTTTAAAAAGTTAATTAAAGTCCAGTCAGGGGTTATTTTTATGTGACTCTGAGGCTCTACGCCTGCATTATAAGTCACAGGACTTCAGCCTTACAGGGAAAAGCCCAGTCTCCTTTTCCCTCAGACTTCAATGCTGATGCATTTAATTGGTTCTTCTTTGTGTCAAAAATTAGAAAGGAGTCATCCAAAAATTCAATAAAAATTGTTTCCCTCAACTTAAAGTTGTAGAAAACAACAGTGCAGAGCAAAGCCACATATAGAATCTGATCTTTTGGTATCAAAAGGAGATCAAAAAGCAAAGAAAAAGAATTAGTCTTTCTAGAATATGCACAGATGATAGAAAAAACTCTGTAAAAAGAAGCACAAAATCAGCTTGCTTTTGATTATGAATTGGAGTGAATTTATCATGAAATATTATTTCAATTTTTGTCTATACATACAATAGCTTGATGCGGGTCAAAAGATATCAAAAGTATAAATAAGATGCTTTGATTTTTTGGTCAAATTTCAGAAAACTTTCCCTAAGTAACTCAAGACAATGTCCATATGTTGGGCATGCACTTTTTTGTTTTCAAGTGTCATTAAGTCACATTTTCCATATGTCAGGGTGTTCACATATTATTGGGGCCTCACTCTAGGGTTTTTTGTTTGTTTTTGGATAACCTGAAATGTCACATCTTCCGAAAGGTGATTGAACTACAGTATTAGCTTCAATTTGGGCTTCATAAAAAAGACAACTTCAGAATTTCATGAGACCTTAAAATATTCCCATGCATTTTTTTATTAATCTTGAAAATCCGAATAGAATTTGATGACTCAGTTGTGCTTCAATTTTGATTATGAAATTTCGCACACGTCTTATTGATGTTGCCAGGCATGCATTGAGCTTACAATCATTTTCATTTTATTTACATTGTATTACTCAAATGAAGGGAATGATTCGGTGGCGGATCAGCTGAGCAGAACAGTGCGAGTTCTTTGCTGGATCATGACCCAGCCGAAAAATCATCAAAAGAAGGCCATTCATGTCAAGGCCACTTGGGGCAAACGCTGCAACATTTTGCTCTTCATGAGCACTGCTGATGGTTAGTTTCATCGTGATAAAAAAAAAGTTAATCAATATTCATGATCATGATTTAGCGTCCGAGGTTTGGTTAAGCATTTTTTTTTCAGCACACTTTACTTGTAATGCTCATATACAGGTGTCCTTTAAAAATCGTTCCGTAAAAATTTCGTCTTTTACTTTCTAGTAAACGTACGGAAGAACTTTCAGTAGGTGCATGATCGAACCTACGTAACGTTGAAGGGAAAAAAATAATTTCCATTTCAAACGTATTAATCTGTCAGCAGAATTTGTATTAAACTTGCGTAAAAAAATGTGATGAATTATTTCTCATTCAAAAGTGTGCAAGTCAGAATCTTGCGAACGGATGTCATAAAGCAATTATAATTGTTGTCATTTTGACTTTTTTGAAATATTTGATCAGTCTAATGCAACTGGACATGGAGGAAAAACAATCCCAGAGAGAAAGTAATGAACTTTGTTTCATTTTTGTTAAATTGTTTTGTAGCATATATGATTTGAACCTTCGGGGAAAAAATACTATCAAAAATTCGACCTTCTTCATCTTGAATGTTCAAGAAATAAGTCTCGAATTCCCGCAGGTTTCTGTACTTTTCACGTTTACAATCGCGGATTGATTTTTTTTTCATTTTTTGCCTGCCACAAAATGATTGAGAGATTTGAAAAGTGCCTGTTCATTTTTTCTCGTGCCATTAGATGAATCCTTGCCAGCTGTAAATTTGCACATAACTGAGGGTCGAAATGAATTGTGGAACAAGACGAAAGCTGCTTTCAAGTACGTGTACGAAAATTATTACGATGCTGCTGATTGGTTTATGAAAGCTGATGATGACACGTGAGTATATATGGAAAATTTGTTCACAAATTTTGTTTCCTCTCAGAAAATTCAAAATATGGTCAGCTTCTGTTTTCTCTTGTCTATATATATACTGGATGAACATATAGGAGATATAAATCTTTCAGAGCGTCATCAGTCCCAAAAAAAACTTGAGATTCGAAAAAAATTCCTGAAACAATTGCTATTATGGACATTCACTTTTTTAAATTTGATTTAATGAGCGAAAAATGTCACGGCATTTATATACAGTAGGTGAAAATGATGACCTGGATTTCATTGAATTTTCGAAAAATTTACTTTTTTGGCTCAGATATGTTGTAGTGGAAAATTTGCGGCATTTGGTGAAGGACGTGGATCCGAAGACTCCAATTTGGTTTGGCTGCAACTTCAAGAAATTTTCGAAGCAGGGATACATGAGTGGCGGTGCAGGTGATTTGAAATATACATTTACAATTCATTTTATTTTTACCTTGATAATTACCTGAAAGTCGGAAAATGTAGAAGTTATATGAAGCTTTATTGCTGCATTATTGAGTCAAGTTAACGTCGTATTTTATCAGTCGTTCGTAGAAATTAGCTAAACTTGAATTTACGATATCATCACACGTCATAGAATTCCCTGAATATTCATTCGTGAAACGACCCGAAAAAAAATATACGAGTATTTCATGAACTTGGAAATCTTTGAACACCCGCAAAAATTTTTGAATGATTTCAGAAAATGTTTCGTCTTACAAGAAATTGCGCTTTTTCTTTTCGAAAAATTAAATTTCGAGAAGCATTAACCAATTTTTGGTCAGAGCAGCTGAAAATTAGTAATGCTGGTGGAATTTTGCGTCAGTCGGATCTATATTTGCACAGTCATTGCTTGCTTATTAATAGATCTTGTTTGCAGAGTTGAATCAATAAGGAATAATTGTTACCTCACTCGGATCAATGTAATAAATGTCAATAAAACCGCTCGAGACCTTGTTTTTTGCTTATGTAGAATATATTCGAATGAATCAATCGAATAGTTTTGTGATTGATTGGCTATATAAAGATGCATTTAAGTGTTCCTTCAGAGCATAGACCTTGACATTCTTCGTCGGTTTTTGCTATTTTTGGATGAAAATATATTCTTGCAGGGATATTCTCGGAAGTTTCATCAACAAAATAATGTTTATGTTCCAAAAATTCAGCTAAAAAAATTTATTGAATCTGCACTTTGATTTCATGAAAAAAGGGAAAAATTTGACGATAATTCCTAATTACGGCTGTTTCATTGTATAGAGTAGGCTTTCGTCATTTTCTTAATGTTACTTTCTGGTAATACATTTGAATTATTGATTGATGGTCAGTACTTTCGTGGGTCAATACTTTCTTGTTCACGTATACAGTAGCTAAAAAAAAATACCTCTTGAGCTTGAATAATTATCTGAAACAGCTGCATTATGAACCCCAATACGTTCTAATGATTTTTTTTTATAAAGGAATCACTGCATATTTGGAAACATTATTTCAGCGAACCGAATATCCAGGTAATTCCAAAAATGTTATAAAATTGACTCTCTCTTTACTTTTGTTTTTATTTTCACGTCACAGTTTATGACGCACACTCACGTTTTCAGTGAAGTTTCAAATATTTTTCAGTAGTTCAACTCTTTTTCCCTTCACCAGAAAGTATAAATTTATTGTAAAAAATCCGCTCGATCAGGTTACGAGTATATGTCCACAGGAAATTTTTAGCAAGGCATTTTTAAAGCAGAAAATGAAAGATCATTTGCATGCCTTCTTGAAAGTCATCCACGTACTAGCTTGGATGCATTGCAACTTCCCTTTTTTTAATTTCCATTTCAACCGTATTAATCTGTCAGCAGAATTTGTATTAAACTTGCGTAAAAAAAATGTGATGAATTATTTCTCATTCAAAAGTGTGCAAGTCAGAATCTTGCGAACGGATGTCATAAAGCAATTATAATTGTTGTCATTTTTACTTTTTTGAAATATTTGATCAGTCTAATGCAAATGGACATGGAGGAAAAACAATCCCAGAGAGAAAGTAATGAACTTTGTTTCATTTTTGTTAAATTGTTTTGTAGTATATATGATTTGAACCTTCGGGGAAAAAATACTATCAAAAATTCGACCTTCTTCATCTTGAATGTTCAAGAAATAAGTCTCGAATTCCCGCAGGTTTCTGTACTTTTCACGTTTACAATCGCGGATTGATTTTTTTTTCATTTTTTGCCTGCCACAAAATGATTGAGAGATTTGAAAAGTGCCTGTTCATTTTTTCTCGTGCCATTAGATGAATCCTTGCCAGCTGTAAATTTGCACATAACTGAGGGTCGAAATGAATTGTGGAACAAGACGAAAGCTGCTTTCAAGTACGTGTACCAAAATTATTACGATGCTGCTGATTGGTTTATGAAAGCTGATGATGACACGTGAGTATATATGGAAAATTTGTTCACAAATTTTGTTTCCTCTCAGAAAATTCAAAATATGGCCAGCTTCTGTTTTCTCTTGTCTATATATACTGGATGAACATATAGGAGATATAAATCTTTTAGAGCGTCATCAGTCCCAAAAAAAACTTGAGATTCGAAAAAAATTCCTGAAACAATTGCTATTATGGACATTCAATTTTTTAAACTTGATTTAATGAGCGAAAAATGTCACGGCATTTATATACAGTAGGTGAAAATGATGACCTGGATTTCATTGAATTTTCGAACGATTTACTTTTATTTTCAGATATGTTGTAGTGGAAAATTTGCGGCATTTGGTGAAGGACGTGGATCCGAAGACTCCAATTTGGTTTGGCTGCAACTTCAAGAAATTTTCGAAGCAGGGGTACATGAGCGGCGGTGCAGGTGATTTGAAATATACATTTACAATTAATTATATTTTTACTTTAATAATTACCTGAAAGTCGGAAAATGTAGAAGTTACATGAAGCTTTATATCTGCATTGAGTGAAGTTAACGTCGTATTTTATCAGTCGTCCGTAGAAATTAGCTAAACTTGAATTTTACGACACACGTCATAGAATTCCCTGATTATTAATTCGTGAAACGATACGAAAAAACAAAAAATAGACGAGTATTTCATCAACTTGGAAATCTTAGAACACCCGCGAAAAGTTTTTGAATGATTTCAGAAAATGTTTCTTCTTACGAAAAATTTCGCTTTTCCTTTTCGAAAAATTAAATTTCGAGAAGCATTAACCAATTTTTGGTCAGAGCTGCTGCAAATTAGCAATGCTGGTAGAATTTTGCGTCAGTCGGATCTATTTGCGCAATCATTGCTTGCTTATTAATAGATCTTGTTTGCAGAGTTGAATCAATAAGGAATAATTGTTACCTCCCTCGGATCAATGTAATAAATGTCAATAAAACCGCTCGAGACTTTGTTTTTTGCTTATGTAGAATATATTCGAATGAATCAATCGAATATTTTTGTGATTGATTGGCTATATAAAGATGCATTTAAGTGTTCCTTCAGAGCATAGACCTTGACATTCTTCGTCGGTTTTTGCTATTTTTGGATGAAAATATATTCTTGCAGGGATATTCTCGGAAGTTTCATCAACAAAATAATGTTAATGTTCCACAAATTCAGCTAAAAAAATGTATTGAATCTGCACTTTGATTTCATGAAAAAAACGGGGAAAATTTGACGATAATTCCTAATTACGGATGTTTCGTTCTAGAGTAGGCTTTTGTCATTTTCTTAATGCTACTTTCCGGAAATATATTTGAATTATTGATTGATGGCCAGTTATAGTTTTTTGTTCACGTATAGTTTAAAAAATACCTCTTCAATTTAAATAATTTTCTGAAACAGCTGCATTATGAACCACAATACGTTCCAATGAGCTTTTAAAAACACAGCACCGGTATTGGTAAACATTATCTCAGTGAATCGAATTTCCAGGTAATTCCAGAAATGTTATAAAATTGACTCTCTCTTTACTTTTGTTTTTCTTTTCACGTCACAGTTTATGACGCACACTCACGTTTTCAGTGAAGTTTCAAATATTTTTCAGTAGTTCAACTCTTTTTCCCTTCACCAGAAAGTATAAATTTATTGTAAAAAATCCGCTCGATCAGGTTTCTCAATAATCAATGTCATCGGGTATTTTTGAAAATTATTTTCGAGCTCAAAATCGCGATCTTCAATATGTAAATACAGTTTTTCGCAAGACTCCCTTCGAGGAAATGTTTCATCTCGTGTATCATCAACAGCACAAAATAACAATTGAACAAAATTGAAATTTCCTGAAGAAACTTTGAGAAATCCGATTTCCATTTTTGCGAATTTTTACTAAATTTAACTCTTTTATGCTCTACAGCAGTAGCTGTATATTTGTTCGTGAGATTTTTCCGGAAACAATAACGGATGTCCGTCAGTACGTACGTGATCCACCAGCGACGAAACTCGAAAATAATCCGTGTCTTTTTCGCGTTGGAGAAAAAGAAATAATGTGTGATCAAGAGCGTTTATCCATTTTTTTTATTTTTTATATCGAGTCTCAAAAAGGTGTTTGCTTTGGAACTGTTGCAGGATATGTGTTGAGCAAAGAAGCCCTCCGAAAATTCGTCGTGGAAGCGATGCCGAATCCCAGCCTGTGTCGGGCAGACGGACACGGAGCCGAAGATGCCGAATTAGGTGCGTAAAAAAAATTCGCCGGATGCTGAGCAAATTTTGGCCACCTTTTTTCTCTCTGTCTCTTTCTACATTCAAATAAAAAAATATTCACGAAAACGGCAGACAGGATTTTCCATGATTAGGCCCTTTGTTATTAATATCGCGTGATTTGAGCTTGATTTTCGAGGCGGGAGAAGAAGAACTTATTAATGATGGGATAATCATGGCATCAGCATTTCAAGCAACAAATAATTTAGAAACATTTCGAGTTGAGCATATTGAAACTACGATGGTTGGCTTCTCAGAACACTTCATTTTTTATTTTAGTTGACACTATATATAGGTGAAATTCGATCCATTCACTGTTTTAAAATAAACTGTGGAATCCTGTTTCGAATACCAAACGTTTTCAGATTTCGAAGAAAGTTCGAAGTATATGTTCAAACATTTGTTGCATTGAGATTATCTATGAAAAGATTTGAAAAGATTTATTATCCTTCTTGTCAAATTTTTGTGGGATCTGAATGAAGTTTTTTTCATAAAATAATTAATTTTTTTGGTGCAATACTTTTTCCCAATTATAGGCGCAATTATTTCGTTGCAGCCAACATACAGTGAAATACTGTACTTTTTCAAGTCATGTCTCCATCAGCAGCTCAAAATATCAGTTGTACATAATTGAAATTTCCTGAAGAAACTTTGAGAAATTCAATTTCCATTTTTAAGAAGTTTTACCAAATGTAACTCTTTTTGGGTTTTTAATAAGCCTGTCGTATGACCATTCTGTATTCAATTATTTGCAAGATCATTCACCACACTTATGATACATGTCATGGAATCAGTTCAAAAAATGTATTTTTATTAATGAATGAATGAATGAACAGAAAACTTTATTTGCCGCTTTTCAGCGTTCACATTATTCAAACAGTCCAAAGTGATTCTCACGCATATGACATATATGATGTACCTCGATTTTCAATTCGGAGATGCCTTATAGTGAATA